TGAAATATATGATAAAATGCTTAGGGCTTGCAAACCAAGGGTCCACCACAGCAATAAGGTCCAACGTCCAACCAAACTCCTCCGGCAAATGTCTCCAAATCAGCCAACAAACAGTTCTAAATAGCTCAAGAAGAAGGATACAAGTGGAGTGGAACTTTTGTAGAGCATAAGAGATTAGAAGCCAAGACGAATAGAGAGGAGGAAGAGATATTTGGAACAAGCTCTCAAGCTTTTCAAAGAGAAGAAACCCTCAGGTTTTTAGCCAACTTATCTCAAGTTAATCAACAACCTTTTCATCACAAAATCACCTCATATTTATAGGAGAGAAAGGGTAGCCAAACAACCAACTTCCACCTCCAACCGAACCAATCAGGTAAGAGGAAGAGGAAGGCCAACAGGCAACATAAAACAGCACCCGAATAGACAGCACAGGAACCAGGTAGAGGCAGCCACGGGAAAGCAGCCAGGGAAGAAACCGAGAAGGCACACAGGGGACTGGAACCAACACCCATCAAAAGGGGAAGAGAACCAGCCACAGGAACAACACTAGGGAGAAATTGAGGGGACACAAAGAAGGGGAAGAGGCAAGCTCCAACTCCACATAATGAGCTAATGGAAGAATACCTTTACAAATTTATGAGCTAAATAGTTCAATTACTCCCCAAATAATGAGCTAAACATCTGCTCAAACATTAATAAGCTATCACTAAGTAGATCCCAACTTAATAGCTCAAAACCAAAGCAGCCAAAGCCCAACCTGTGAGCAGCCAAAGCTCAACCCGAGAGCATCCAACAAGCAACCCAAAGACCGTAGAACCCAAGAAGCTAGCACACCCAAGGTTTATCATGCCCAAACACATCCTACTCATGATCATTGGATGTTTTCCATCATTGGATAGCATAAAAAAACATAAAACACGACTATAATATTCAAATTACAATAAAACAAAAATAAGCAAAAATATGCATGCATCACCTGCCTTCAACCCCCTTGACCTGAACCCGACCTAGGTCTAGCCCGGTCAAAATGGCCCGACACCCATTTTGATATGAAATTTTTTTTCTCTCATTCATATTATATTTTAAATTTTTCACAAAAAAAAATCATGATTTTGCCAAAAGTTAACTGGCAAGACCGCAATAATTTCACACTCATGAACAAGTAATCTATATTTCTCAGCCACGATGTGAAATTTCAACATTCATGCTTGATCCTGAACATTTGTTTTCTGGCCTGACTTCACACGTCTTGCAATTCAGTGTGGTATATTTTAGGGCACTTTTTGATGAGGAAAGCGGATTCTAACATTTGTAGATTCTTCAAAAAATAGAAAATGAAATAACTCTAAACGCATATATAGCATTAAAGAAAGCTCCCAACAAATCTACAATTATCCAAAATAATGAAATATCTATACAACAACAACAACAACATCAAGCCTTTGTCCCATTACGTGGGGTCGGCTACATGAATCCTTTTTCGCCATTGTGTCCGGTTAAAAGTCAAATTCTCATTTAAATCTAATAAAGAAAGATCATTTTTAATATTTTCTAACCAAGTTTTTTTAGGTCTACCTCTACCTTTCTTAACATAAGTCAAATCTAACACCTCAACTTTCTTAACCAGGTCATCGGAAGGCCTCCGTTTAATGTGACCAAACCATTTAAGGCGGCTCTTTCTAATCTTATCTTCCACTGGAGCTACTCCAACCTTTTCATGTATATGCTCATTTTGTATCCTATCTCTAAGGGTGATGTAGACAAAGGGGGGGTCAACTCATGTCCAAAATGAATCAATTTTGGCTTCCCCCGAGTTTACAAGCTCAATCAAAATTGAGCTGAAATTTTAGCTCATTTATGAGTTGGTCTTTAGTTTACTTATTGAATTAAGGGTTATCTCATTATTAGCTAACATTTTAGTTCATTAATTATCTTTTAATTAATGTACTTCTTATAATTTTTAATATTTTAATGTATGTTGTCTCTTGGGATTCCAAAATGGCTTTTGGAATCCCAAGGAATGTGTTTTCCCATGCCATGGCTCCTTGGCTTCCACGGGTGGCTGATTTCCGTGCATTGTCTCCTTGGTTCTCACGGTGGCTGTTGGTTTTCCGAGCTGGGGGAGTTTTCCCGTGGCTTTGGCACCTCGGTTCCATGCGGTTCCTTTGGTTCCTGTGGTTGCCCCTTCGGTTCCTTGGCTTGGGCTATTTTTCCGTGAAAAACAATTAGGTTTTTAATGTTTGTCTTTTGGAATTCCTATGGGAATTTATTAGGTGTCTTTTGGTATTCCCCTTTCATACCTATATATATGGGGGGACTTGTAATGTTTAAAAAAGTGAATGATATGTGATTTTTGGAAATGTAAACCTGCGGGTTTCATTGGAAAAGCTTGCGAGCTTTGTCCACCTTCTTCTTATCCCCTCCGGAAATCTTGCGAGCTTTTTCCAACCTTTCGTCTCGGCTGCTAATCTCTTTCGTCTCTCCGCAAGTGCCACTCCATCTGTATCTTTCGTCTCTAAGTAAAGCAACTTTAGGGTGTCTTTGATTTCGAGTCAAAAGTTGTAATCCGTCGTCGTTTGTAATGTTTTTCTTTTTAATTTAATTTGAAATATAAGAGTTTGTTCATCTCTCTCTTCCTAGTCCTTCTTCGTGCTTTTAGTGTTTTCGTCGTTGTAGGTCTAATCTTATTTTTGTGCGGGCGAGGGGTATAGGCTCCCTATATTTCTTGCCTCCACCAAAGGGTCAAGCCACTCATCCACCTAAGCATCCTCATCTCTGCAACACTTAACTTAGTATTATGCTTCTCTTTTAATGGCCAACATTCGGCACCATAAAGCATTGCAGGTGTCACCACAATCTTATAGAATTTTCCCTTAAGTTTGAGGGGGACTTTTCTATCACACAAAAAGCCCGATGCATTCTTCCACTTCAACCATCCAACTTGAATTATGCTGATAATATCCCCATCAATTTCACCATCACTCTGAACAATAGATCCAAGATATCTAAAACATGTACTCTTATTAATGACTTGATCGCCTAAAGTCACAATCCCATCAGTAGGTCTATCGCTACTTAAATTACACTAAATATATTAAGTTTTAGATCTACTCAAGCGAAAACCTTTAGACTCTAAAGTTGACCTCCATAATTCGAGTTTACCTTCAACTCCCTCTCTAGTCTTATCAACAAGAAGAATATCATCAGCAAAAAGCATACACCAAGGTATATCCTCTTGCAAATGTCTAGTGAGAACATCCATGACTAAAGCAAAAGATATGGACTTAAGGCTGATCCTTGATGTAATCCAACCGAAATAGGAAAATACTTGGTCAAACCACCTTGTGTTTGAACACAAGTAATAGCCCTTGCATACATATCTTTAATGATTTGAATATAAGCATTATTAACTCCTTTCTTTTTAAGAACTCTCCATAGCACTTCTCTTGGAACTTTATCATATGCTTTCTCTAAATCAATAAATATCATATGTAGATCCTCTTTATTATCTCTATATTTCTCCATCAAACCTCTCAATAAATGTATGACTTCCATAGTAGACCTACCGGGTATGAATCCAAATTGATTTTGCAAAATAATGAAATATTTATAAGGTATAAATTTATGTCTTTGTTTCTTATATATGGTTCCAAGGGTTTTAGACTAGATTATGGGTTTTATACCTGGATTGATGACTAGCAGATTGGAACAATAAGCTGGGAAGGAACGATGCTCTTGATTATAGATTCTGCACATTGAGAGGAAACAATGGATAAACAAAATAGGTTTTGGAATGTATCGCAAGAAGAACGGGAAGTAATAGAGAGGCGGCGTTTCACCATTGCTTTGGTGGAATGAACTGCGAGAAAGCTAGTGGGCATTCTCGATCGAAGACCTCTGCTGCTACAAGACAAGTAGGCATCCTCTGCAACTTGAAGAACATATACAAGAATAGGGGTAGGGGCACGGTGCGAAACAGGCAAGGCAAGCATAATAAGAAACACTGAAACACTTCACGCCCACGGCCTGCCCTATTAATCAAATGATTTGGGTTTCTTTCGGGTCATTTTGGGATTTTCGAGTTGACTAGAATCTGACCTGAAATTAAAATTGGATCAGGTTTAGATATCTAAACCTGAACCTGACCTATCTTCTAAATGGGTCGACTTGAACCCAGAATTTTTTGGTCTGGTCTGAGTCGGATTTTTGGGTCATGTCATATATTGACACCCTTAGTTGAAATTGATTATTGGCATGCTGACAAAATGTAGACCGAGCTTTTAAAAGAAGTCGTCTAAAGGAAACATGAAGTGCACCCAAATAGTTAGATAAGGTTGATGTGGATGATGATTTTCATTGTAACATTATTGATGTGGGTTGCTCATTTCAGTCTTGTCTTTTTATTTACGTGTTTTGCTCTTTAGAAAGTTAACTATACCGCATTAATGAGCACCTTCAATACTTAGCAGTATTTTCTCTGTGCAACTAAACCTAGTGATTTTGTGTTTGCCCTTGGACAGGCCCATTTTGGCTTTCCCTTCTTTTGGCTTGTTATTGTTGGATGATTTTGTTTAGCTTTTATTTTACGAGGACCAGTTTGGCGCCATGCATGCTATTCCTTGTCATCAAGCTACTATCATCATCATTAGCTTTATCCCATATTCCCATGTATTTGGGGTCTGCTCTTTGAGAGATGGATCAGGACTTGAACTGTTTTTTGAATTATTTTGCCTTTTATCCTTCAAAATCCAAAGAAATGATTCAGTTATAACTACATTAATGATAGTGGTGCTCTAAGATTAAGTATGCTCAGATAAACGTCATGATATCTTTAATAATTAAATAAATATTTATTCACAAAGTTTGAGCTACATTTACTACTGAAAATCTTCAGCGTGCAATAAATGTAGAAAGTTATTATTGAAGACATTTTTGAAGGTTTGTCTTTTAAATGTCCTTTTTTTGGTTCAAAACTTGCTACATATTATGTGTGAATGCAGGTTGTTAGCTCTGGCTGCCTGTTTTGCAACTAAAATGATTCGGAAATACGGTTCAGCTGAACATAAGGGAGAGAAAGTCCTTTCTCCTCGGAAGGATTTTAAGAGTGTACATATGTGGAAACGTAAGCATTTCCAGAAGTTTTGTGGGACAAGTAACTCCCGAATGCTTTCTGGGATGGCCCTTCTGTTGGAGGTTATTAGAAATCTTCAAAACCAACTGAGTTCAAAGGACAGAAGGCTGCTTCTTGATGTATGGTGCTGGATTTGCTATGTTGATTTAATGGTTATGCTTATATAAAAATATACCTTTAAAAATGTTTCTTTATGTAGATGAGAGATGGAAAAGATATGAGAGACATGGTTAATGGAGAAAACTTGCAGAATAATTCAATGCTTCCAATTGCTTTAGCTGAGTCTGTTTCATTAAGCGTGTTAGATTCCGTGGAATCTCAGGCTAAGGCATCATTATTACAGTTCAATGAACTTGAAGATGAGGCCTTATCTTCAGCAAAACCTTCTTCTAGTCAAGTGAATTTGAATGAGATTTATGTTCCTGAAGCTGATCCCATCGCAAGGAGTAAAATACTTCATTTGGAAAATCCTAAGGAAACCATCACACGTTGGAAAAAAGATAGTCCTGACCTGAAAACTGTTGTAGAGGAAGCTTTATGTTATGACCGCCTCCCATTAGCAGTGCTTCATGTGCATCTTCAACGCCATGGGGATCAGATGGATGAAAAACAACGTTATGATAATTTTACTGAAGTTTGTGAAATTGGTCGAGCTATTGCTTATGATCTTTTTCTAAAGGTAGTATGTTGTTTTAACATAATGAGATTGTCCAAACTTTCTTTGTGAACAAAAATTACTTGCATTTGTCCAGGGTGAAAGCACACTAGCTGTGGAGACATTACTAAGACTTGGTGAGGATTTAGAACTTACCCTTCGGCAATTGTTGCTTGGTACTGTCAGAAGATCACTCCGAGCACAAATTGCCAAAGAAATGGAATCGTATGGATACCTGAGAAGAACAGAGATGAAAATATTGGAGAGAATTTCTCTTATTGAGGTTTCTCCTTTATTTTTCCATTGTCTATTCTTTTGTTAATTTTGTGTTGGTTATGATTTATTTTGCTAATTTTAATCTATCAATTGCATTCGATTTATCTGATGGCTAACTCTTTCATTTCAATGTTTTAAAATAGCGGTTGTATCCTAGCAGCAGCTTCTGGTTTGCATATCATGGGAAGCAGAAAGACGGAATTGTGTCAAGCGCTAATTGGGAGGTTTCAAAAGCTGAATTGAAATTTCATGTGAATGACAGTTTCATCATCGAATGTGGAGATATTGATGGGGTCATTTTAGGCTCGTGGGCTAATTTGGATGATGGCCCTGCCTTTTCTGTGGTTGATGAAGAAAATGTCCATGCTGCATACTGGGCTTGTGCTGCGACTTGGGCTGATGCTTGGGATCAAAGAACTATTGACCGTGTATGATCAAAACTTTGATAATTGCTAGGATCTGTTCAAACAATTACCATTAGTGTGTTTTCATGTTATTCTTGGCTTGAATTTTAATTATTGCTTTTCTATCTTCTTAAAATGTCATACGTACTAAAAATTAGGGCTGTCATGTGGGTTGGACTGGTGCTTAAGTCAAGTAAGTCTGGTCATTTACTGAGTCATAAACGGTTAGGACTAGTGAGCATGGGTATAAATCGGGCCCCTAATAGGCTTAGGTCTAGTCCATAACCCCATATGTCATTCAAAAGCTGCCACGGCCTCTGGTTGCTCTCAAACGGTTTTGAATTAAAATTTAAATTATGCTGTAAATAAGGTTTGAATTTATGTTGTAAACCTAACTAAACCATTGCGTACTAATTAATTTTGGATCTTATAAAATAACAATTAGCCATCTATTGACTCAGGAATGCATTGATGAATAAACACTAAAAGCCAAGTTGAGCATGCCTGATAAATTTTAATGTGCAGTAACACTAGAAATTATAGTGAAAAATGCTATTATTAGATGTTGTGGGATAGCACCTATTAGAAGATGTCAAGGAATAATGGTAATAGGGCTCATTTTGCTCCTTGTTGATAGAACATATGTTTTAGTAAATGATGATTGAAGAATTTCTTAATTTATTATTCTTTTTATTAAAATACAATATTATATATATGCTAAAAGTTTTCTAATAAATGAAATAACTAACTAGCTTAATTCTCTCCAAAAAACTATCGGAGAAGATCACAATCGATCTTTCATTTTATTCCTAAAAATACTTTCCTAAAATAAATTCCCTAACTTTGAATTTAAAATATTCAACTTCCCTTCAAGCTGGAAACATATATCATATAATCAAATATTGCAAATTAAGTCTTCAAAGTTAGGTCTAGGGAGAGCTTTGGTGAGGATGCTTTAGTTTGATGCTTGGTAGGGATGTGCTTCAATTTAACAGTCTCACTAGTCACCTTCTTTGTGATGAACTGTCTGTCAATTTCAACGAGTTTAGTCCTATCATGATGCACAAAAAAAATTCTTCATTTAGTTTTGATGAGCATAAGCCCTTGAAGAAGTTACTTATTTCAGTCAAGGGATGTAATATTGAATCTGGAAGAGAACTGGAAGCAATGGGTAGCAATTATTCCAGGATGACGTAACAATCATCACTTTTCAATTCAAACAATCTACCCGATCTCATATAAATACATTTGATGAGGTTGGAAGCATATCCATCAGGTAGCTTTAGGCTTTCCATCCATTCACAAATCGCTCGCCTCTACTCTAAAGTGAAGGTGAATGAACCTTTAGGCTTTAGAAGTTTACTATTTTCACCATCCTTCAACTCAAGCATTTTTCTCCTTCAAACATCCTTCTAATCTATTCTAACTTATGTCTGATGTCTATTATCTTTAGATTTGCCCTTGATGTCCATTAATATATTGAACACATTACTAAAAACATTCTTCTCTATATGCATCGCATTTAAATTATGTTTGATCAAGGTTGTTCTCCAATATGACAATGACCAGAAAATACTCTTCTCTGTCTAATTGTAAATATTTCCATATCCGGGCACTTTATAAACAGTTAATGATGGAGAATCAATTATTGTAGGTATGAAATTTACTCTTTCAAATATTTACTTACTACTTAGCCTTATTTGGAGGTTGTGTTGTATCAATTTTATTTTTAATGAAAGCATCCTTATTTCGCCTGAATGGAAGATTTGCAGGTAAAAACATATAGTGATAGTTAAACTAAGTGTTTTTGCACCCATGCTTTAGAGTGAATGATTTAATATTTTCCATGCTATATGGGCAAACTAGCTTGCCTGCAGTGCTCCAACCAGAAATCATACTGTATGTTGGAAAGTTACTAATTGTCCTAAATAGCACTCCCCTCAATGTGAAATTTTGTTTGGTAGAAACATCATATGTAGTAACTCATTCATTCCACAATAAGTTTAAGTCATCAATTAAAGATTGCAAAACACATCTATCTTTGTCTTTAGATTGTGTGGGACTAGAATGATAAGTGATTGAAACATGTAGGGTGTAGTCATACATAACTCTGGAGGAAGATTTAGGAGGTGAGTATCACAGGCCCATATGATTAAAATGAGTCAGATTAGCTAAATGAAGTAAAATCATTTGCATATAAACATAATATTAAATTCATTAGTTTTGCGGTGAAGGTAGGATGTGTATGGTCAAAGTGTTTCCTTACTTCTACTTCTGACGGATGTATTAGGACACCTACTTGCGAGGTATGTTATTTATGCAATCGCATATGTGCTTTAGAGCTCATAAATGCATATAAATATTGTAATATAGGAATGTTTGGTAAGTAGAACAATCAACTGACAGACATATACTTCTGTCTTCTTTTTTTCCCAGAATTTGATTTAAACCTTATTGCGTTACAATGATGACATGCTATATCTAACAAATTATCCCCATAGTATAACATATATTTGTTAACACAACAATATATTTTCATAACTGTCAAACCAAGTTTAGAAACCAATTTTTTTATCTGATGTAAGTTTATTGAAATTAAATTATCTACCAGATTGATCTTCTTAAGTAGGCCAATAAAATTTTTGAAACATTATCTGGATATATTATATTATGCCTTAATGCTTAACATCTTCACAACAACAGATAACACTAAGTGAGTAGTGCACTCATTTCAAATTGGTTGTTGCGTAGTGTGCAACAAATCATAAAAGTTTTGTGCCTCTTTAATCATGGTTCTTCTGTATATTATTGAAATTGTTCAATTGCAATCATAAACCAAATCCTTAAACATCCTAACTCTATCTTCCTCAACTATGTTGGAATTTGTAGACGACCCGCACTGAGAGTCGAAATAAGGCTCGTACTCACTCTGTGAAGTTCAATACCAAGTTTCTGGTATAAAACTTCTGCGATATAGATCAACATGAATCTCATTTGGTGTGAGGTAAGCTTGATTTTTATGTTTGGAATATGAACAACTAATCTTTTCCTCTGATCATATGATGGAAGGTGATTGACAGGCTGCCTGAATTAAATAATTCATTATGTTCTGAAATTCATCGGGTAATGTCTTGCATCCAAACAATAACCAATTATATATCCAACTTCTATAATTTCGAATATCCATAATAGATTTGTGCTTAAATTCCTACAACTAAATAATGAGATTTGTATCAATTTAAAAAAAAATTAAAATAATGTGTAATGACAATGATTTTAAGAGTTTTCATGGATAATTATGCTACTCATTCATGCATATACTTTCCCATCCTCATCTCTGCAACACTTCAATTAATATTATGATCTTTTTAGGTTTATACCTCTACCTTTCTTAACTTAAGAGTAAAGCCACTCATCCACCTAAGCATCCTCATTTATTCAACACTTAACTTAATATTATGTTTATCTTTTACTGGCTAACATTCTACATACACCTTAATGGTTGTCCTTAAGTGTCACTTAAAGTTGAAATAAGATCATGAATCCAACAAAAATCAACAATAACAACAACAACAACAACATCAAGCCTTTATCGCACTACGTGGGGTTGGCTACATGAATCCTTCTTCTCCATTGTGTTCTGTTTAGAGTCAAATTCTTATTTACATCTAATAAAAATGTTATTTCTAATATTTTCTAACCAAGTCTTTTTAGGTCAACCTCTACCTTCCTTAACATAGGTCAAATCTAATACATCTACTCTTCTAACCGGGTCATCGGAAGGCCACTGTTTTACGTGACCAAACTATCTATGACGACTCTCTCTAATCTTATTTGCCACTAGAGCTACTCCTATCTTTTCATGTATATGCTCATTTCATATCCTCTCTAAAAGTAAAGCCACTTATCCACCTGAGAATCCTCATCTATGCAACACTTAACATAATATTATACTTCTCTTTTAATGGCTAACATTTTGCGCCATAAAGCATTGAAGGTCTAACCAAAGAGGGATTCATCTGATTAATTGCAATCTGGCTTAATTGAAATGAAATCCTACAGCTCCAAAGAGGGATTCATGCATTCATGCCGTGTTTCTTGAGCCAACACAATTCCGTCACATTTTGTGACGGAAATTTCCGCCACAATTTTGTCAAAAAATTTTTCCGTTGCAAAGCCCTCCACAAATCAGCCGCAAATCACTTGTTTTTTTGTAGTGTGTGAAGTATTTTCAAAACTACAGTAAGTCTCTTTGGTTGCATCTCATATTTTATTTACAGTCCCACCAACAATAAATTTTTACCTATGCCATTTTTCATGGAATTGATTGATAAGCCATGATACAATCATATTATTCTCAATTTTCCACTTTCTGAAACCCATATTTGTAGTTTGGCATGGGTGCTGCTCTTGTGAGATACTCATTTTTTCCCTTATCACAAATGGACAACACGAATTGGAACTCTGCAAATAATTATTCCTATTTAATTTGTGTCCTGTTATGAGAATAGGAGAAGAATCATTGGCACTAAGGTTTGGAGCTTTTGAATTTCTTCATGATTCTGGCCGTGATGTCACATATTTGTGATAAGGCCATTCATATTGCGAATAAGAAGATGAGGGAGAAGAGCGAATAAGGTTGTTGGAAATATAGAAGAAGGTTGAGACGAACACTAACCAGTGAGGATTGATTAGAAAGAATCGGTCTGAGAAACAAAGAAGAGACGGCCAGAAAGAATTTGCCGGAGATATTAGGGTTCAGAGAACTAGTTCTGATGCCATAAAGAATTTTTAATTTATTCGTCTTCTTACTAAAAAATGGTACTATATATATATATATATATATATTAAAAAGTGTCTAATAAAGGAAATAACTAACTAGCTTGATACTTTCATAAAATTTAGGAAACAAATATATAGGAGAAGATCACAATTGATGTCTCATTTTATTCCTAAAAAAGTTTTCTAAAATAAATTTCTTAATTTTGATTTTCCAATATTCAATAATGATTTCATTTTCACTTATTTTCAATGTTAAAATGAAATACTTTTGCATTTAACGGATTTTGGAGTGGGGTTTGTGGAGTTTGAAATAATGTTACTATCTGATTACATCCAACTTATGATAAATTTAACAGTTCATTGCTTTTCAAATATGTTTTCTAACTTCAAGCAACCAAATAAGACCTTAGGTGTTATTTTGTTATTGAAAGGCTGGCCTGCAGCAAGGTTTTGTTCCCTCCATTATGAACTGGATGTCATGGGTTTGATTTAAGAAACATCTTTTCTTCTAAGACAAGCCAACATTACATAATTCATACCTCCCTTTAACCCTGCATTTGAGGAACCCCTTGTTTTCTATATAATGTCTGCCTTTAGTAGGGCTGCAAAAGAATCGAGCCGAGTCAAGTATGCGAGTGCTCATGTTTGAGTTTATTTATTATCAGCTTGTTCAAGTTTGGTTCATGTTTGATTCGAGCTTTACTATTTATGTTCATGTTTGGTTTGTTTAAATTAATGAGTGTTCGTGTTCGGTTCATGTTTGGTTCGTTTAGTGCTTATCAAACTTTAAACAAACAAGCATCAACGAGTTTTACTTCTAGATGTTCATTAAGCTTATTGAGCCTCATAACTAATAATTACATCGAACATGTTTGTGAACATATGTAGCAAATTTTTTTGATCTATGAATCAATCACCTTCATGAACAAATCTAACTAGTATTCTTGAGCTATCAAATGAGCAATTTCATTAACATATATAACTAGTTATAATAAATATATAATATTTATATTAAGTATATTTATCATTTTTATAATCAAATATTAATTGAGTTTTTATTAAGCTTATTCACGAGGTTTGAATCGAACACGAATCGAGCTAGTTCACAAGATTTAAATGATATTGTTATGAACATAAATGAGCCGAACACATTAGTGTTCAAGCTTGTTTATTTAAGTATCGAGTATTTAAAATATTGTTCAAGTTTGTTTATTTAACTAATTAAACGATCACAAACAAGCTTTAATCGAACCGAACAATGAGTAGCTCATCGAACGTTTGGCTCGCTTGCAGCCCTAGCCTTTAGTTATACGTCTCTAGCTTCCTATTCTTGGAAGTTTTTATGGGGAGATTCATTTGACTGTTTCTGTGGTTTTTTTTTTTTGATTTTATTTGTTATAAAAGTTTATGTTAACCAATGGTTTATTTTTAAAATCTGATTAGAAATGTCAGATCCTGATTTGTCATTTTATTGCTTATATAGTTTATATATTGGCTTTAAAAATTATGGGGAGCACAATTGATAGCTGAAGCGTTCTGATGTTAATTTTTCCTAAATAAGTCTTATGTTGGTTTCCTGCTTTTATACGGAAATTTGGACAGTTTCGTACTTGTACTTTGAAGAACCCATAGTTGTGTCTTGTATTCTGCATTTCTAGCCAAAAAATTGTTTATTGAGTTCCGAGTTTGGTCTTAATAAAAGGGATTTGTTTCTGGTACTGGGAATTAAAAGAATGAATTCCAGGTCTTTGTCATTAAAATATATAGACAATGACTGAATTGGTCACCTAATTTTTTCTGAAGGATCAAAATAATCCCCGACTATTTAAAGTGTACTAATTTCATCCCTTAATGCTTTAAATAGGGACTAAGTTTGTCTTTCTATGAGACCATTTAGGTTCCTATTCACAAGTAAAAGGACGAAATGAGATTTTCAAATAGTTGAGGATTATTTTGATCTCTCGTAAAAAGTCGTGGGATCATTTTGATCCTTATCTCTTAAAATATATCATTTGCTACGTCATACATTTTTTTTGTGAGCACTTAATTGCATGTTGGTGGTGTAATAGACACTAATAGTTTGTCTTAAGTTTACATTTGTTCCTATTAATTGAATCTACGAATTTTAAGTTAGGTTCAAGTGGACTCACCCACCCACTCATCAGTTCTGCCAGCAAGGGGTTTGAGAAATACTGGGCAGAAGTGGACCATTTATATCTTTATTCTTGGGCACTGAATTTCTATGGAGTTAGGGTGGGTTGCAGTCTGGATTGCTATCACTGAATAACAACACATATTGGTCTAGTCGGTGTTACCGAAGTCTCCATGTGTCTTCTACTAACCAAATGTGTTATAAATTGGTAAAACTTTATATTAGGCGTGTTATCTTGTTTGAAGACTAACATTCTTTTTTTTTTGTCATTTAGTAGTTTGTCTCCTTTTTAATTGTAGGCGCTTATATCTTTAAAGCTTTTTAATCTGTGCTTTTCCTACTTTACCAGGCTCGTGTTTGTCTTTAATATTTTGCAACTTAACTTTTAAATAAAAATTGCATTTCTCCTCATTTTCTTATAACTTCTGAGCATTTACGTGCTTTGGATTTCGTAATTTTTGATCTCAATATATTGTATCAATTACGAAATGGATTTGGTAATACTTCTTTTTTTGGCTTTTTTTTATTGGAATTTCCTTAACTGATACATGCATTATGGTTTTTATTGCAGGTAGTTCTTGATCAGTCTATTGATATGAGCGTCTCTGTGTCATGGGAATCTCAGTTGGAATTCCATTTATCACACAACAATTTTGAGGAAGTCCACAAACTCATTGGCATCATACCTCCAACTTTATTATCTGACGAAACCCTTAAAATTAATCTTAAGCATTCAAGTTCTAATTCTGGAAATGATGCCATGGCTATGGGCTATTTACTAGATATTTGTGCTTCTGGAGAAGTGGAGCCTGTTTGCTTGTTTATTCCAAATATCAAAGTTTTCAGATTTTCTGCTGTTTATATGTGTTCGTCTTGGTTAAAAGTGCTTGTGGAGCAGGAATTGGCCAGAAAATATATCTTCTTGAAAGATTACTGGGAAAGTACTGCTGAGCTTATGCCTCTTATTACCCGTGCCGGTTTAATTATCAATGCATCAGAAATTTCTACTAGTTCTCAATTCTCTGATAGTTCTCTGGGTCTTGATGCGGAGAGAGTTACTGATCATGCTCACAATGACACTGCCGAGGCATTACACAGGCTAATTATGTGCTATTGCACTCAGCATAACTTTCCACACTTTCTAGATCTATACCTTGATCATCATAATCTGGTTTTAGATGACGATACTCTCTGCTCTCTCCGTGAAGCTGCAGTAAGTTATCCAGCATTCGGTGAAGGTTAATATTATATGTGAGATGTTGCCTGTAGAGCTTTTTACCGTTGTTACCTTGTTCTTTACATGTCTTCATGCATATCATTCACAATCGTTTATGCGATCATTCATTATTGAAGGTGTATATTCAATTGTTTTAAGGGTGAAGTTTAAATCCATGAGTTAAACTATTAGATGTCGTCCTTGGCTAGCTTTACTCTTTTGTTTGCTTTTTATCCCAGTTAATGTTAAAACCATGGGCTATACAATGAACTTTTCTTCTTTTATCAAGTTATTTATACCCAACAAGAAAAATAGTCATCAGTATATCACATTAGTTGTTTGGCTAATATTTATCCTGTTGGCAATGTTACAGTTATTCTTTTAAAACAAAAAATTGTGATGAAATTTCAAAAAGTTCTAATATCTTTTGGTTTCGTTGATTGAACCATTCATTCTTTGATAATGCTAGGGTGTTCTCTTAGATTCAATGCGTCAAGACCTAACAATGGTGACTGGTGAGTAGTGTGCTCGCTTGGGTAGGATGTCACCTTTAGGTGATGCGACATAACTTTATCAAATTGTGGTGTGAAGCTTGGAAGAGTTGGCTTGGATGTCTTAAGCAAATGATTTGCCTTTAAAAGGAGTAATTGTTAAGTCTAATGTTCGGACTAAATTTTTTTCGTGAAATTTGTGGTCTTTGAATGAAAAATTAGATAATTATGTAGAATAATTTAAAGAAAAATGAATTTAACTTTCTTGCAAAAATTTATCTGAAGAAGTGTGAATTTTTAAAATATAGGAAAGGTTTATGAGTAATTGTATGTGGAGAAGACAATCAGAATGAGGCAAGAATAATATTTGATTAAGAGTTGAAAGATAGTTGTTTCCCTGGTGAATAGGGTTAGCATAGGGTGATTGTTACTAAATTAATTATTTAGGACATTATATTCAGTCAGTCAGTTATTATGCTTTTTAAGTTAGATTGGATGAAAGGTTGAAAAAATAGTTTTGAAAAAGCTATGGATGGATTACTATTGTATTCTTGTGGAAAAATTATCATGGATAACTATGTTTGTGTAGGTTCTCGTAGCATTATTATTAGAGGGTTTATAACAGATGCTGATTTCAATATGGAATTGTGATTGGACAAAGCAATGTTTGGTAGAACAATAACATTAAGTATGATTAATCCTTTATCTCCATTGGCCGAAGACCCCTTCATAGATTCTGGATCTTAAACGGATCCCAGATTATGTTAATTGTTTTTAGCTTTTAAGATAGGTACAATATCTCATAGGGAATGCAAAGTATTTAATAAAATTTGCAGTGTAATCAAATAAGGAGAGATAGTGTGTTTTGTTTTTTACGTGTTCGCCTCAGTCCTCTCATTGCTAACTTGTGAGGTTATGCATTTTTCCCCTATAAAGATAAAGTTGAAAAGTTGACGCTGAAGCTGAGCTACTTAATCTTGTTAATTTCATGCTAGATTAATTCCAAATGGTAGTTAGTATGACTGTATATGTATAATGTTTCTTATGTTAGTTGTAGCCTATTTGTTGCTACATTTGTCTATAAATATATAGCTATTACTTGTAATAGGGGATGATTAATAAGATTTGAGTTGAGCATTGTTTCATTTATGTATCCTGAAGTGTATTCAGGTGGTAGTTTCTTTCCAAGGAGTTTTTGGAGTTGTGCTCGGCTACGATCACCAGATCATCAACGAGTTGTCGAGCCCCCTATTGTCCGGTGTCAGTTGTCGAGCCCCCTATTGTCTGGTGTCATTTGGTATCAGAGCCGACAAGATGCCAAAGGGAGTTTTGTTTGTTTAATTCCTCTGGGTGGTGGTTTGCTTGTGTGTAAGTGTTCATTTGAGTCCCTACTGGAGATTGTTCTTCATCCAGGTCGTAAGTTCCAGCCATAAGGGAAATTCTCTCTCTTTAGAGGATCGATTTTGGGCACCCTGCTTTGGATCAGGGTAAGGTAGATCGGGGCAAGCCAGAAGAACCTTCGGTGTTCTATATCTTGAGCCTAGCTTAGGTGGTGACGAGGGTGCTCAGGTTTAGGCCAAGGGACCACCTCTAGAGGATCTATTACGTGATGGACATCATCCCGCTCACTGGAAGATCGTCGTTATCATCTGCAGTATGAGAGAAGCTAATAAGAAACAGAGTTTGCTCTTGTCTGTATCCTGACCTGAGTTTAGATGGTTGGCTAACAACCACCTTCTAGTGGTTGGATTGCAATTACAAGTCACTATAATAGATTGAAGGCAAGATTTTGTGTTCTTAAAAACCAGATCTTCTTCGTATAGAGTGGTCAGTCCGCCATAGTCTTGTAGTGTGATTGAAAGCTCTATACGAGCAGAAGTTCTAGCTGACACAATCTCATGCTAGGGACGTTATCTCTCAGGTGGTGGTTCCTCTAGTCTGGGAGATCATCAATGTTGGTGCTCGATGTGAGTCTCACGCTCTCTCTGTTTTGGCCATGATCTCCTCTGCGATTTGGTGTCAATTGCTAGGCTCACAAGAAAGCTGAAGTAATCTTCGTCCCTTCCAAGCCCTCTAGTCGCTCGAACGTCTCCAATCACAGGAGTTCAGCAATAGTTCCTGTTGTCTTGTTGCAGTAGTTTCAGCTGTTCTACTCCCTCTTTCATCTTCTAGCCTTCAATAGATTGCAGTTAATAGTGTGTTGTGAGGCTTCAATAATAGGTTCTTGAAGAATAGAGGAAGATGTGGCCTTGATGGACGTTGCAGTGACCACTTTAAGAAGCACAAATCGAAGATCAATGACAAGAAATTGCCCGACTCAATCAGCGATTGTCAAGGATTGAACGAAGGAAAGACTTGAGCCCCCTTGCCCGGAACTTTGATAGCATCCGACCATGGGGCAAGTATGCTCCCATGACGGCTTCAAGATCCCTCGTCCTAACTAGATCCTTAAGAACCAATAATGACGAAGAGGGCATCTCAGATGCTCAGATCTTTTCTACCTACGAAGATGTGTTTGAAGGGTCACCTTGCCAGTCTTCCACCCCACCCTCAATTGAGTCTAGTTTTGATTGATTTAAAGATGCATGATCGAAATCATCGTCTTTGCTTGTCTATGATAAACTCGTGTATGACGTGTATGATGACGACATATTCGTTGGAATTCTTGATCTTGATCAGTGATGCATTCATGTTTTTAGTCTATCTTGTTTCAATGTATTTTGAACAATATTTGCTATGTTTTTAAGTTTTTTTTTTTATCTATCCTATGATGGTTGGGCATCCAATGATCATGGTAGGAAGGTGCTTAGGCTTGGCATGCCTTGGGTTTGCTTGCTTTTGAGTCCATTTTGTCCTTGGGCTGATTGCTGTTTTTGGTTTGGTGATATTGCTACTCTCGGGTGGGCCTTGACTCTTGGTGTTGAGCTCAAAATTTTGAATTCTACTTGGTGTTAGCTCATAAATGTTTAAGCTGAAGTTTAGCTCAATGATTGGGGAATAAATGCATTTCCTTGCTCATTAAATCAAAAAGGTATGCTATTATTTCAAGCTCATTATTGTGGAGTGGACTTGTGTCTTTTTCCCTCCCTTTACCTTTTCAGTTTCTGCTGTCTGTTTATGTTCCCCTGGTTCTCCCTCTCAATTTTCCCTTGCTGGCTAGTTTCCCGTGCCTGCTGCCTTGTCTCATGTGCTGGCTCTTCGGGTCCCTTGCTGTCTGGTTTCCCGTGGCCTGCTGGTGGGTTTTCCGTAGACTGTTTCCCTGTTTTTCTGTGAAGAATTCCTGCTGCTATTTTGCTGTCTTTTAGCCTTCTATTTGATGACTTTTGGCCTTTCATTTCACCAAATTTGATTGGGTTTGGTTGGAGGTGTTATGGTTGTTTGTCTATCTTATTTTGCCTATAAAAAAGAGTTGTTTTGGAAATCTGAGAAAAGTCTCTACAAAACTCGAGGGTTTCTTCTTGGAAAAGCTTGAGAGCTTGTTCCATCCCCTTCTTCTCTTCTCTATTTCGTCTTGGCTTCTAACCCCTTCTTCTCTACGCAAGTTTCACTCCACCTGTATCCTTCTTCTTGAGCTTTGGAAGTTGTTTGTTGGTTTAAATTTGGAGACATTTGCTGGAGGAGTTTGGACTCTTTTGCAATGGTGGCCCCTTGGTTTGCAAGCCTAAACACAATTTTATTAAATTTTCTTCTCTCGTTGCATGTAAGGAAATCGCTAGACGGTTATACTAAGGATAGAGTTTTTATATTTTTATTTTGTTTCGTTTGATTCAGCTTTTTGTTTCTTCGAATGTTTGTTTGGTTGTTTGCAAGCTACAATTGAATTGAGTTTGGTTTATATTTTGTCTTGGTGTTCTCCAGTTTGTCTCTTATTTCTAGTTTGCTTGCATCAGGTTTGGTATTAGAGCAAGTTAGGATATCCTTGGTTTGTGTGTCCCTTTTTTCTTTTAAGTTCTAAAATGGCTAATAATCCCGGGGAATGACAAAATGTAATGCAATAATTAGCGAATTTGCAACATCAGATTGATGAAATGGCTAATATCCTTGCTAATCTTAATATTAATCAACAACATGTTCAATCATCTGAAAGCGAAGAAGTCCCTAGGATTCAAAATAGGAGACAATGAAGTTGGAATTTTGGGATTAAAATTGATGTTCACAATTTTAAGGGTTAATTTCAACCTGATTTATTTTTTGAATGGCTTGAGAAAATAGATCAATTTTTTGATTGGAAAGAAGTTTCAGAAAATCGAAAGGTAAAATTTGCAAGTTTAAAATTAAACGTTCATGCTCTTACATGGTGGGAAAATTTACAAAACAATAAACTTAGGCGTGGGAAAGAAAAGATACAAAATTGGGAATGGATGAAAGAAAAAATGAGAGGAAAATTTTTACCGTATGATCACGCACAAACTATATTTTAAGAATTCAATAATTTGCGACAAGGAACTCAAACTGTGGAAGAATACACTGAACTGTTTTACAAACTTCAATCAAGGAATGATTTAG